GGAGAAAGACGCAGACGAGGTCTGATTARCCGAAGATGAATTCAGAGGAACTGATGGATTTTGAGGATGAATTGGTGGAGGAATCGAAGTGGAATCAGTCGAAGCCATGACGAATTGAAGATAATCGATGAAGATGATATGAAATCGCAATGAAAAGGACGAATCTGAGATCTCACAGATTCGTTCCTAAAGCGCGAAGAACACAGCAGAAAAACTTCAACTCGAGGTCAATGAATATGATTGAACCTCGAAAAAAAACAGAGAATCAAAGATGAAAAACAAGGAATTGAGATCGAATCGAGATGATTCATGGCTCTGATACCATATTAGAACTCYAGCTCAAGCTCAACAATGGCGGACTTAGAGAGAAAAAGTGAGAGAGCTCGTATAAAGTTTGTTATGGTTGTTATTATCATTCAATGTTCTCCTCATAAACCTATATACAATCTAATATATATGTAATCCGGTTTAAGAGATAGATCAACCGAAAATAATATTAAACCGCTAACTCTAATAAATCCAAAGACAGAAAAAAATAGTGCAACAAGACACACACAAATTCAATTTCTCTACCTCCAATATCTTTAGTAACAAAACTAAAATTATTATGAATTCACATATTGATATACTGCTAGCTACCTAACTGGACATCATAATAATGCAACCAAAGCCATATACAGTAGTGAAAATGATCTCAGCATTGGCATCACCTTTCAAGTGCGGGCACTACAGAGACACACATGGATAAACAAAAACCCAGAATTTAAAGCCGAATTGGCTTCCCATAACTCAAATCGAAAGATTTGTCTTCCCATTCTCAGTGACGGAGACTCTTTTACAAATCCACAGATTAAATAGGATAGGAATTGAGTGAACTTTGGGATTGGGATCGAGAGATTTGATCTCTTCATCGGTGATATCGGCAAGAGAAAGAGATACGGACAAAAACGAATAATGACGATTTTTTTTAGGTTAAAATGTGTTCAACCTATCTCACGTGTAGACATAATACATGTATGAGATTCTCAAAGTTTACAAAACTTTTTTTTTTGTTTTTATGTTAAAAACCCTTGTTAAGAATTTCTAATGGAGATGGTCCAAGATGACCAAATAAGTTTTATGGACACATAGCTTGAACGACGACGAAGTTTTAATCAATCAATCAAATCAAAGTACTAATAATACGACAAAGCTAAATCTTCAAAATTTGTAAATAACAAGATAAATTGCCATATTAAGTATATATTATCACCTTCTTGGATTTAATTTAAATATTTTAATTACAGTTAACTCTAAAATCTTAAAAAATTTCAAAAATTGTTTATATCTTCACACTTAAAAGTAAATTTGTTTTGGTTAACTTATTTTTATTTAAACAAATTAAAACCGATCTAAAACTAATTTGGTCCAATTTTTATTTCGATTAATTTTGTTATAGTATTTTTAATT